AGATCGTTCTGTGAGGTACTGCCACCTTACCTATTTCTGCCGCCAAGCAGTAATGTCAGCATTATTGCAAACAACTCTGTGCCACCGAGCTTAACGTTAGTCGATTCCTGCCCTGTGAGACACTGGGTAGTCCTATTCGTGAGTGAGAAGAATTGCATTTAAGAAAAATTATTGCCATTATCAAACCTCCTCCCATCACCTTTCGAGTACAAAGTTGTTTTTTAGATATACCTCGTTTATAAATTTTGTACTTTATTAAGATTTGTACAAGATGATATCTTTGTAAATAGCACTCCTTTAACTATATTTAATTTGTATAATAAAATTGTAGAGTTTTTATATTGACTGCGATGTAACCCGTAACAGCTCATTATTGCATATACGCCTTTCTGAACACGAAGATCTGTCATAGGTCAGCGCTATGTTAAAGCCGAAGTCTAAAGGTGCTTTTCTACAGGCGAGGCGAGACGAAGATTGAAATTTGTATGGCAAAATTTTAATTCTCTCGTAGCGTGTCAGCAGTGGAAATGCTCTGGATTGAGGAGAATGTGTGAGACGAGAATCGAAATATTTGTTAGTGTAACATTAAACTGTATAACTTAACTGCTTAACTTTGCAACGGAAACGATTCGCGCGAAACCGTTTGGGCTCGCGCGATCTCGTTTTGGTGGAAATAGACAGGTAAAATTTAAATTCTCGTCACGCCCCGCCGGGGGAAAAGAACCATTATGCAGGGTGTAAGTTGTACTGAAAACTACATCACTGTAATGAGTTCTACACATAGACTTTTCTTGCAATATTGCGTTGATTTATGATTGATTCGCGGGATACCATACCATAGAAACTAACGCGATACTAAAGTCGTTATGTCACTTATCGCTGAGACAGTCCACCATTAAAAAATCGGGATTGTCCATACTGTTTTGTGGAAATCTCACCGCGTACAGTGTGTTGAGTTCTATACTTACGCTCTATGTACTGGCATATCTATGAGAACGCTCATGGAAAGGTCTTAACTAGGGGCCAAAAAGAGGAAAAACCGCAAAAGTATAGAAAATGGAAATGAAAATATATATACAATTTTTATCGTTAGAAACAGCGTAAGCGCATTTACACACTGCATCCGAATCATGTAGTTTCCGAGTCCGAGAAATGATGATCCGAAATTTCACAGGGATTATTTTATCTTTAGGAGTAATATGCTAAGCGTGTAAGTTCCGCTGCGTTTTTCCTCTACATGGTGGCCATAATCGGGAAGTACCTAGACCTTTTTATTTACGGTCACAGACATATAGGTGATATTTTGCAAGGTGTCAAATTTCTTGATTGAAAAATTCAGTTCAAAGAAGAATTTTGACAAGTCGTTATGTAAGTCAACTAGTGACTGAGTACATTGCAGTGAATATAAAAGCTCTGATTTAACCGTTAGTTAATAAATATCATATCATTAAGTATTAACCACAGTTAACTTAAATTGTTATAAAAAGAAATAACTTTTTGAACTCTTGCTTCTGACTTGAAATCTGTCATATTCTACCTAAGTACTAACTTAAACTATTTTTGAAAACATTGAACTTAGAATTACAAATTGGTACCAATAATTTAAGATTGGAATTCAATGCTTTTTAAAGGAATTTTTTATTAACTATTTTATTTACTGCCGTTTTAAAATGGTTACCTCTGTTGGTGCTCGATTTAAACTTAGTTCTTAATATAAGGACCATATAGTTCAAAATAAATCTAAATTAGTTCTGGAAAACGATCACAAGTTCAAAGTTTTCAGAAGTATATTTTGAATAGTGTTCCAATCCATTTTCTCTTAAAATCGTCTAAATTTAATAAATAAGCAAAGAAGAAATTGTAATCGCTTGATCCCCTTTTAAAAATTAATAACCCACTAAATGACAATAATGTTGATCCTTATGAATCTCTGAAACACAATATTTATTGTAACAACAATCAATCGTATGTATTTTTCCACTTTTCCATTTTATAGTAATAATAATGTAATAAACACAATAAAAATCCATTGTACTGGTTTTGTACTCAACAAATTAATAAATATGATAAGTTTATAAACTGAATGTGTGATTTTATTTATTTTTCATTACACTTCATTTTCATTGCACCGATCTCTATGAAACTGTAGGCTCATTTACTTCGATGAATTATTACATTAAGTAAAATAACGGTTAACTGGCGCACCTATTTAAGTCCAATATTTGCTCGACATGTTTTCGCGGTGTTTCATATTTCACGTCCGCAGCGGGATCTCATGATTAAGGATCACGAATTGGTTCGAAACATGTAGGGACGCAGTATCGAATCAAAAGTATCGATACTGTGCTCATGAATAGTATCGCGTAAAAAATATCGTACTCATAAAAGTATCGAAACAGAAAATTTGCTAGAAAAATATTTCAAGAGAAATATCTCAAGATATTCCAGCAAATTTTCTCTTCTGAAAGATTGAATTAAACACATTAATTAATAAGTATTTTATTTGATTTATGATTTTTAACTGAAACAAATAATAAAAGACTTATTAAATTGATCAAGTCAATAGATCATCTTTTCACATAATTTAGGTTACTTAATATTCCCACTCCTCCTCTGTATAATCATTTAAAAACAAAAATTTATTTGGTAACAGTCTGTTTCTCTTTTTAATATTGTATTGCCTGCTTTTTTGCGAGGTAGGTACTTTAATATAATGGTTTTCAGTTAGGTTAATTCAAATGTTTCTAACTAGTTTTCTTTATTCTCATTAATACAAAGAGGCGACTGGAAACATGTAGAGCAAAAATTCGACTTAAATACGTGAGTTATCCGTTGTTTTAGTTAATATGTCAGAGTCTCACGGTGATTTTCTATTTAAAAAGATGAATTATTAAATTACAATAATTATCTTTTAACCGGCAAAGCAATAACCGGCTGATTGAGTTTGTCTAGGTCACTCGAAGTAAATTAACAAAAACTAGGTACGCCCCTAGGGATTAAATGATGCACGTTACTCCCGTTTGTAAGGCTATATTGACGTACTTTTAGAGCATGCGAATTGAAAAGTTTTACAATTACGCTTAGCAATAATTTTGAAACTAAATGAGGTTTAAAAAACCATGGGAATCAGCGAAACGAGACAACCCCGTATGAGGTTTAATAAACAGCTTATAAGCGGTAAATAAACTGCTTAAAAGCGGTAAATATACCGCTTTAAACGGTAAATAACTTATTGCTTCTTCTTCCTTTTGTTTTATTTCATTCTCCATATTTATGTCTTGCTGCATTTCTATACTTTTTTCATTTGTTTTTCCTTTAAGTAATGTTTTTATTTATTTTTAATTGATTTTCTTTTCCTTTGTCTTCAGTGGACCCACTTAACTTTATGTATTTGAGGATTGCTTGGATACTATATTTTTTTCGTATTTGATTTAACACTATGTAAATGTTTTTTTTCTCAAAACTTCACAATGAACGGGGTCATTTTTCAAGCGTTCACTATATTATTTTTTGTATTTCGGCATTCGTCATGGGTGCCATTTCTGCAAACAAAACTAGTTTCAGTTAAATACTTTTTTATTAATTTTATGCATGTTTCAGTTTGTTTGTTATTATAATTAATGTATATGCATCTTTATATTTTCTCAGTTTCGTAACATAACGAAACTGTTAACAATATCTGATAAATACTTACGTCAAACTTTTTTAAGCACCACATTTACTTTTGAATTGAAATCTCAATGAACTTAGGAATATGTATGTATGTATTAGTAGCCTTTGATAATAAATAAATATTCAGAAACACACTTTTTTAAGAAGTTCATGAAGAACAGTCGTTAATCACCTGATAAAAAATTATACAAAATACTTACCCAACTCAAACATTCAATTTCTTAGCCGTAACGAAACGGCAGTTGATGACAAATATTAAAACAGGGTTCAAATAGTGTTACCAATTTAAAAAAGAATAGTGTAGTCTTCTGAAATGCAGCAATTACTTTTAAAAGCTGTGTAACTAACGCTGAGTAACGAAATTTATTTATTTGCGACACTGAATGAAAATATTATATCCATGTAAATTATAAAGATATATTGAAGCAGCTTTTAGAAAATTGTTTATTATAACTTTAAGGGTAATCACAATCAAACTTTGGCAGTATAATTGCTTATAAATATAAGTTATCAATTGCAATGGATACAACGTCGCGGTAGGACATTTAAAAAAAGTATGAAGGGCGTTTCAACCATTTTTTTGACATTGAAAGTACTGAATATATTGTAAAATTTTACCCAAGAATTAAATATTTCATGGTTGGAAAGAACTAACGTGCCTTAAAAGATAAAGTTTTTAGTGTATGTTAAGAGACATGTAAATTTTAAAAAGGTAATTTTTTTCTGCGTTTGACCCAAATATAATATGAATAGGTAAACTGAAACGTTTTTTAGTCTCGCAACTTCCCCACAAGTATGGTGAATGTATGCAAATAGATGAAAAGTATTGTATGCGGTACGGGTAAAATTTAGGTTTCGAAGGAACCTAAATTAATGGCGTTGAAAAAAATGTAACAAAAATTTGTTAAACTATTTTGAAAAATGGATTAAATTAAAAAAAAATAGTCATTCTTATTTTTTCCGAGTTTTAACACAAACTTGACGTCGATGATTCTCAAAACTGGTAGAAAGTTTAAAAAAAATGAATAATGAAAAGTTGGCCTAAGTTGTCTAGAGAGTCTATGACTCTACTTCAAATAAACTCTGCGTCAAACTATTGCTATCCTTTATTTTCCGTCTGTATACTGTACACCGAGTATATACAGTATACAGAATGACAATTTTCTAAAAAAACAATCAATTTTTCAATATAGTTTAACAAATTTTTGCTTCATTTTTTTCAACTCTGTGATAGAGCAAAAGTTGAAAGGAAATGAAATTATACCAAAAATCGAAAAACAACAGCTCTTTATTGCATACAATAAATTATGAAATATCGTCAATAAATAACTTGCCCTAAACTCTAGCCGATTCGTGTGGAGCTTATGTACATTTCAGTGCCTGACACGTCATAGGTAAAAATCTAGAAGTGTCTTGGAATTTTCTTTCCTAACGTGCTATATGCTATTGAGGTAGACCTTTAATTGCTTGGTGATGATGAGGATGACGAGAGAGTTGATGAGATGGAAGCTACACTTGAGTAGCTCGGAGATTGGTTTGCAGTTGATGCGCTGTCGTTGGGGTAATAGCTATTATAGGCTATCTGTGAAGGATCCCAAACTCTAGCATAAGGACCTGAGCTTGCAGGTTCCCAAGCTGGTGACCCGTATGAGTCTTGAGGCGCTGCTGGCGTTGATGGAGGACCATACTGGGATGCAGGGGGCCCATATTGAGATGATAGGGCTGGAGCATCAGTTGGCATCATCATTGGCATTGCTGGAGGAAAATGTAAAAAAATATTAGCTTTTAGTCGATATTAAATATCGTTTATTTATATTTCAGAGTTCGTAACATCGCTTAATAAATGAGCGTTACAAATATACCTGAGCTATTCCACATTGTAAGAGGTAAAAAAATGTATGGAACTGACTGCTAATTTACGTTGGTTGGAAAGGCATTTAAAGCACGAGCCGTTTCCATAGTAATAAGTGCAAGAGGTTTTGTATATGATTTCCTTACTAAGTTATTCTCAGCATTAGGTCAAACTTACCTCCTTTCTTCATAACAAGGTTGTAGATTAGGAAACCAAGGACAAGCGTAATGGCTAGTTTGCTCAAGATCAGTGCCTTGATTGCCTTAATACCGATGATAGCCACCAGAATTGGCATGAGAGCCTTCATCTTCAGCTTTAGGAGAAGTAGTACTGGCAGCAGGAGCTTTTTCTTCAAAATGCCTCGGGCTGTAAATATGATTTTCATTATACACAGTACGTGTAACGTTTACAATCGATTCTTAATCTGAATTCAATATGTTGATATCTAAGTCTGTCTATTAAGTCTTATTTGGTAATTTATGTATACGTGAACTTTACAATATCATTTTCGCTCATGCTTACTTTTAATACCTGTTTTATTAAACTGTGTCTACTTTATTTTGCGTATACAATAATTTTTTTTAAATTATTTTTCAAGTGTTGTATGTCTTTCGTGTTTATTTTGAAAACTTTTATGAAGATATTAGTCTACTTAATAAATGACAAGTACCTTCTCCATTGTCATTTTTCTCCACAGGAAATTCCACATCAAATCCTCTATCAGCTCTATAAGACACCTCAGCATTCTGGAAAAGGAATTCAGGCAACTGTAACCTGAACTCATTTGAATTTAGAATTTTTCCAACGCGGTCAAAGATCACTATGTCAATGTTGTGTTCCTCAAACGCTCTCGCAGATTCCGAAGTCACTCCCAATTTTGTATCCAGGAAGGAGAGAACCTTCACTTTGAGACATGTCATAGGACTTTCAGCTTCGAAACAATCACTAATAACACTGTTGATTAGATCATCACTAGTTTGAATCCGAGCCGTTTCAATTTCATTGTCTTTCAGGGTGTATCCCTGTACCAAGACGATAGACGCGAGTACGAGTACACACTTCATGTTGGCTACACTGTCATTAGTCTAATTAAACGTACGGCCCGGCCGGTTAATCGAGAAACAATGATTTAATTTTTCATTGGGCTTGGTTTTTATATGGGTTCCTTTGGGCGGCAAAGCACGCCGCGTGAGCACGTGGCTTGAATATGAACGTCTTACATACTTGGCTAAACGTTTGTTTTCATAGAAAGTCCCGGTGAGAGTGACTGCAAGTTTTGGATTTAATATCAACGAAAATTTTATGAGTTTTTTACGTTGTTTGATATTTGTTTAGTTTATGATATACATACATAAGTGGATGAACTTCAGCGTTATGTAAAAAAAAGTTATAGGCTCTTTCAAATTGTCGTATATTTCCATAATTATACTGTTAACCATTTAACCTACGGTTATCTTTTATTTTTTTCACTACACAAATTTAGTGTAGATCCTCTATTTCTCTTGTTTGTTTTTTATTTATTTTACACAGTTTTACCTAATTAAATAATTTATTAAGAATTACAAGCAACTCCTGTGACCTCTCTACCTTCTTTGCCGTATTCCACTGTACATTTCTCTACCGGCTGTCTGCAATTGGAGAATCAATAAATCATCTTATTGCCTATGCAAGGCGACGCGACTCTCACCTTCCCCATGCCCATACCAATGTCTAATTGTTCTCTTGTATAGTTGTGAGTAAAAAAATATATGATCATTCACGTAACTGCTATAAAGCAGTTATTTCTTAAACTTGACAATACTTTGTAAAATATCTTTATTATTGATATCTTCATTCACTCACCTAGGCGGTAAAACTTCAAATTTCAGGTGCAATTTGATATACTGTGCTTGGCTTGCTCACCTTTGAATGAATACTTTAGTTACTTGTAATGGAGTAGTATCGTTACTATGGTCGTAATATAAGATAGATGATAAGAAAGCTGTAGGTTTTATTCTACGTCATGGATCTTCATTCAACATATTGCACAATCTTACAAAACTTATGTAAGTTATCACCGTTCTAGAAAGTGGTACGTGCTCTCGTTTGACAAAAACCTCTGTATCCAGAGCTCGATCTTGATTATGCAATAAGGGTTGGCACGGACCATTTTGTATTCATCGCTCGTTCCATTATTTGCATCTGCATCTATGTCCGGATTGTGAAATTACTGTTTCACTTCCGTCTGTGATCTAATGAAGTATTTAGCTTGACATTTTTAAATTAGATCAGTTACACTGATCTATTACACTGATAGCTAGTAGATAGATGGATAATCACGTAAAGATCCTAAGAGCTATGGATTGTTACATTCGTTATTTCAGCCGACATGTTCAAAAAGAAGATTTTAATTCATTAACCATATGTAATGAAAATATCATTTAGTTGCGAAATTCATACGAATTCGGAGAGTGTATGTATTATTTGTGTATATAAAGTTTGTCACACAAACATTAAATAATATAAGCTTATCCATCAATTGTTAAAGTGTTGTAAAAGTATAACAATTTAAACTGAAACAAACAAAAGTACCATAAGAATGTAAGATTACACATCTAAATGCTTCATTCACTCGTAAGTATCACCTAATAGACATCATATAAATCCATCGCACTTGCTAAAATCGTGACGGACATGTCAATGCTTTACCCCAATTATTTTCCTAAAGTGCTGTACATCAATACAAATTGATAAATTAACCTTTGCTAATGTCAAATCGTGTATTTATTCAATTTTCAACTTTATTTCAACCGTTCGAAAGTGATAAATGTTACCATTTTAATAACTGTTTTGTCAAAAGCATTTAACTATGTGTGTCTTGCAACTTTCATGCCATAAGCGATATAATAATCACCAGGTATGGGTGTCAATCCGTGATAATGTGTCGGTTGTAGGTCATGAGGATACGGAAGGCATGCCAGGCTGTCGCTATTCGCATCCTGAGTGTCCTTGTTGAATTACAATGAGGACTACCTCAGGGCTCGCTGTTTGGTCCCTTTGTATAAATTATTTTTGAATAATATTGACATACATTAGAAAATAGAGCATGGTGATATTTTCTCTGTTGAGTTTACACTTATTTATTTCAGGAAAGTACTAAAATAAGTAAAATATTTCGCCATTGATGTAGTTATAAGGTAATTTGTTAGAGTTGTTTGTAATTACGTGCAGTCATACTCAATATTGTGACGTCAAAGTGCACCATATACCTCCAGTATATTTTGTTTTATAAAGCTATGGTGTAGTTAACTTATTCCGTATATGACCTTTATTGTAATAATTTTTTTATATGTTGTTGTTTGTGTAAGGTACTCCATCTATTTAAAAAGTATTTTTTCGATACATGCATTCGATAATGGGTTACGGGAAATTTACTATAAATACTTCTGTACGTATTTAACTAAAAGAAAAAATGTTTTATATTTATAAAAAGTTGAGAATGGCTTTGATATTGCGGGAAATTGAGCTCTGCCTTCCAACTTCCAATTATAAGGCTTTCATACCACGTGAGATACATTGTAATGTTCAAACTGTCCAATCACAATGAGTTTTAGTTTTAATAAAATGATAATTAGTACCTAAGTACTGAATTCTTATCTTAATCAAAATGGACTAACAGCAAGTTAGAAAGTAACCTTACGTAGACATACTTAAGGTCACAATCACAACTGCACATGATTTTACAGATATTAAACTTTGGATTTTAGATTATTTGGCATAGAGCTAAATTTAAATTGTTGACTAAAATCGTTGTATGGGCTTTAAATAGTCAGGTTCAAATGTTATTGAAGAGTTGTGTTAAACCGTGATACAAGTTTCGCTCGAAGTTTTTATCATCCTGGTGACTTCGGAGCTCAGCGACTCATCCAGGCCTTCTAGACAATCGTTCTTATCACTATGCAATCACTCGTTCTTTGTAGCGCACCCAGCCTTACAATGAAAAGCGTCTGAGGAATTTGAATCCCTTTCATCGTTTTTATATTCATAGCACATTCCCTTGGCCGATAGAAAGTGCTATTAACATATGGCGGCAACACCTATTTAGTCGACATTTTATTCTAAATCCATCCGGAAGTGTCACTCATTAATGTATAGCTTTCTATTGTTTACTTCTGACCCTTAGTTCCGTATTGGAATGTAATTTTTGTATTTCCAATGTTGCTCGGAACTAAGATACTTTTCCATGAAAGATAATAAGATACTTCAGAATATGAACTATTTTATCTCCCTCCATTTCGAATTACCTAAGTATATATTACTGAGTTTCGCTCTATTTGGTACAGTCACTAACTACTGCTTATTTGGTATAATCTGACTCTTATATTGTAAATCAGTTATTTAAAAAATAATTGCATGTTTTCTTATTCTGTATGCACGAGCCTACATTTTTTTACACTTTATTTTGAAAAGTGTGAGCCGAATGTATTATTATTTTTATTTATTTATCTATATTTTGATATCATAAAAAGGGGGTAGTTACAAACGCCAATTAACTCAATGACTTTTTATTTATAAAACAAAATATAAATTATTTAACAATCACACATCACAATCATACAAGTCTCACACGCAGTATTTTATTTAAATAAATAGTTGCATTACATAGTATTTACACGCGTAGTTTCAATGAAACATTTTCTATTTGGTTTGAATCCATTCATGGTGCAAATCCATCATTTTGAATCGGCAGCCAATGTGGAATAGGTTAGGTTTTTCCTTTTTTTTTAAATCGGGCAGTGGTCGTTTCTATATTCGATCGGTTTAAAATTTACTGATACGCGTTGTAAGCGAGTTCTTGAGCGGTATCTTGAGGTTCAGCATCTCTTCGGCGACGAGTAGCAGCATAGGCAGCATCCCAAGGACCGTGGGCAGCGATTTGCGGGTGTGTGTTGTCAGCCGCGATCTGGGTAAACTATAATGTTAGGATAATAGGTCGGTGTGAAGAAATGTTAGTTTAAGCTCTGACATTTGCAAGGTTTCGTGACAATTCCAAAGTGCGTTTGTGCCTTGCAAGTGTTTTACAGCTGTGGAAACATCGTTATAAACTGAGTTGTGCAATAGATTTTGAACGTTTTGTGCAACAAAAGACACTACATACTCTGAGGTTGTCCTAAGAGTTTCTAGATGTGAAGTAATTGGGATTACGGTCATGTCACGTACAAAGTGCTATTCTGAATATGTAAAATTTATTTAAAATTTCATCTCACCTTCTTGCAAAGCTGAAAGATTGCCAAAGCGACGGACACGACGAATGAGAAGAAAGACAGCTGAAGAGCGTTCCAGGCTTTCAAACCGAGGACTCCGATAGCCAGAGGAATGAGAGTCATAGCCTTCAAAAGTACGAACACGAGGATAGGAACAATTATCTTCTTAAGCTTAGCCTTGCGGGCTTCGCCAACAGAACGGGCACCATCCTTGTTGAACTTGATGTTAAGGCTCAATTCATCATTGTCTAGGTTTCTAGGGCTGACAGTGATTTTGGAGTCGACAAGAGGTAGCTGGAAGGTGACATCGTGCGACTGGATAAAGTTCTCAACGCTGTCGAAGAAGTCACCCTGGGAACGGCCTGTTACTTCATTTCCGGCACCATTTGTGGTAACTTCAACGGTTTCTGAGATCTGGAAGAAACATTATATTCTTAGCAGGTAGTAGTTTTATTTTAGTTATAAGTGATAATGGTTATATGGCAAAAAGAAAATAGTTCTCAAATAGAAAGTATTTTAAATCCCAAAAAAATTGTGTACCTGGAAAGTGTCCTTTTTGAAAATGGAGTCCAGCAAAGACATGACCTTGTACTTGATGCAAGCGGTAGGGTCAGAACCTTCAGCACATCCAGATCTCATTTCCTCGACCATGCCATCCATGGGAGTTCCTTTCCAGAAGGCATTTTTAGTAGGCTGAGCTACTGCGCTGCCGAAAAGGGCCAAAGCCAAAATATACACAATTTTACTGGACACCATTTTGACTGCTTCAGGTCTTCACTGGCCGATGGTCGAGAACTCAATGATGCTTCTGTCAAGGACTTGCTGGTTTTTATACAGCTATTTCAAATTCAGTACAGTGTATACTGTTCCGGTACGCATTGTCTCACACCGTATGCCCCTACGACGGAGTTACGACTTCTTGAAACTACGTAGCCTTAAAGTGTAAGGGAAAGCTATTTGATACAAATCCTCTTCAATTGCTTACAAATAAAACGTCTTAAGTGTGAATTGGAATGTTCATACTTAGGACATTTTGAAACGAAGACATCCAGGCGCCTTTTCTGTTGTTTGTGACACCTTACCCTGATTCGGAGACGCGTGCTCCAGATCCAATACCTCTTTCGCACGTATCGAGAACGTTATAAGAGTAAGTGAGAGGTGTAATGTTGTGAAGTGCTACACGTGTTTGATATGGAAGAGCAGACGCGATACACGCACGCCTTTGCATACGTAATAGCTTCTAAATCGTTATCATTGAACTTGTGGGTGCAAAGATTAAGATAGCAATGTCACAGATGTTGTGGAGATACCTGAAGTTTATGTTTTGTATGATATTAAGTATAGCTTGTAAATAACAGTGAGCATGACGCATTCATGCTCGCGAAACACTTATTGTAGTCTCATTGTATCAGAATATCTTCACGGCCTTTAAATCATCAGCCAGTACTGTTATAAGGAGAGATGTACTCAGTAGTAGTCAGGTCTCCTTCCTTTTGTAGGATTATTAGGTGCTATCTTATAATTAGGAAGATGCTGCTGCGTCTTTCGGATTTATTTCTTACTCGCTCAAGACCACGGCAATTTCCGAAAAATAAAGTTGGTTATTTATCGAGTTCTTAGGTTTTCGCGATTGTTACACGTAGGAAATGAAACTGTTTTTCCGGATTTGAATAGCGTATATTTGTTTTTTCAAACAAACCGACGTTACAATACAGTCAATCGTGACCATGGAACCTGTAAAGGGCCCGAAACGTTGGTAGTTTTAGTTGGTTGGTTTTTTAATTGGCAGTTGACGGTTCATTTGATAGAAAGTGAAAGCCCTGAAAAATCCTTGAATGACAAAAGCATTTACTGCCTGGGAATAAAGATATTTAGTCCTAGAGCTCGGCACAGGCTTCCTCTCACAATCCGGACTGGGAACTCCACAGACACATTATTAAATAGCTTTGCAGATGTGTGCAGGTTTCCTTAAGGTGTTTTTTTTCACCGAAAAGCTTATGGTTAATTTCAAATTAAAATTAGCATACAAATTCCGAAGTCTCCTGGTTTTCTAGTGATGGCGCTGCGCTGAATGATTCTTTAGTTGTTTTGCAGTAGAGACAGGCTGGGCCGTGGTATCTACCTACCATTTCGTTACGAATAATAGCACATAGTACGTAACATGTTTGTGCACGATATTTCCCTGTATATTTCAGATGTAAGTTAATAAGTTAGCAAAGAATTTAGGAGCAGTAGAGCTCCTTGTGAAAGAGGTCGTCCAGAGAAATACTGAAATATTACGTATTTCTGCCGCCAAGCAGTATATGAGTATTACTGCGTTCCGGTTTGATAGGCTAAGGGTGCTGGTCAAATTACACTACTCAACTTGTCTCAGTGTGACGGTCGCAGTGGCAGTACCCCTACTAAGTGGCACTGCAACTGTTATGGATAGGCGTGTCGCTTACCACCAGGCGCACGACTTGTTCGTCCCTTCACTTGGTATTATAAAAAAAAGAATATTTTTAAAAGTTAATTTTAAATTATAATAGCGTAATCACAGAATGCTAAATATTGCTTTATATAGATTTTTAGTGGTGCAATAGACTAGGTGGCAAGACGCTTCCTTGCTGCGCAAGAGATTTAGTTTCGATTTCCACTGTGTGCTTTTTTCAAAATATCATGTTTTTGAAAGATGAAAATGACATTGTGATGAAACTTGCGTTTCGGTGGTTTATAACCTGTTCAGACTGTTCTCTTTTTAGACCCATACGAAACCTAAGCAGTGATATATAGGTACACACATCAGCACATTTAGCGGAACACTAGTTATATTCCTAAAATCAGCAGTGTTTTTTCAAAAGTCTGGTCGAATAAATGTTACTTTTTAATTTTACGTCTAATTTGAAAATAAAAAGTAGTCCACTGGCATGTCAAAATGAATGAAAAATAAACTTCTTGCTATGCTATACAGTTTTGTCGAATGGTTCGTGGTAATTTCGCGTTAATTAATTAATTAGTTCATAAACTTTTAAAGCTTTATTTATTTGAAAAAGATTTAATCATCATAATTTTTAAATTTTCAGCCGTTCCTGCATTGACACAAAATTTAAAAAATGCATTATATTTAATTTCGATTGTTTTCAATGAAAACCGAGTAAATCGCGTATGTTTTTTCAAACAAACCAACGTTTCGGATTCAGGCCCCATAGTCACGACTGAATACTTAATGTTACTTTATGTCTAATTATTATTTATTTAAAAAAGACGTTACTATTAACCGACTTCAAAAAAAGTTTCTTCGGTTGTATTTCTTTACTTTGTGTGCATGTTACGCGATTATTCCGATATAATTTGTAAACCGATTTCGACGACTCCTTTTTTCTTGGAAAGAGAGTTCCTCAGTAGTGTTTTCATTCAAATTTGAAAAGAATATTCCACCTGTAAGGGTGCTAAATTAAGGGATAAAACAGGTTTATTCGATTTCATCCATGTTTCGTTAACTGACTTCCATAAAACTTGGCAAATAGATGTAATTCCACAAACTTTTGAGGTCGACTTTTTATATAAAAAAAGTTATAATTATTATATAATCTCACTTTGTTTTTGTTCCGCTAAATTTGCTAGTGTGCTTATTTGAGTGGAAACTGTATTTTTTCACTGTTCATATGCCGCCGTATACAATCTAATTATGAAACCAATAAAGCATACAGTGTGATAGTAGACGGGCCTATTTCTGATCCGGTGCGAGTTGGTCCTCGGAATACCAATGTGAGAAGTTCCGTCATGGGAGAAAGTGCCGCCATTAATTATATATGAGTTCCATGGTGCTGGGGGATTGTGTTTAAATTTTGAACTAGATGGCGAGTAGAATTCATTGTGGCATTTTTTTTTGTAGAAATATGTTCGTCAATTTGTTTCGTCTTGGTTTGATGACGCCACATGTTATCATGCGTCGAAAATGCTTTTATGAAAGTCTTTGAAATAATATGTGACTGCCTCCGTGGCCGAACGGTTACAATACTGGACTGCCACGCAGAGATCCCGGGCTCGATTCCCAGGCCCGGAGAAATATTTATTTCTCTAGCGAGTAGAACACGTGATACAATTTGTGGTTGTCTATGTGTGTGTCCATAGCACCCTCGATACAGGATTCCTAGTGCATGGTTATGAGTGGGTGCGCGTTAAAAATCTCACAACAAACACTTGGAGCACTGATCTTCCTTAATAAACTCAAAAGTCAAAGTCGAATAATCTTTATTTCATAGGTAAGCAAATTACACTTGAAATCGTAATAATTGATTAAACGGTGCTGCGCATGCGTAAGGCTGATTCCCCTGAGAATTGGGGTTCCTGTTTGTAAATTATATTATAATACGAACCTCGTGAAACAAATTATATTTATATGAAATTTACAACTCCTATTTAATGCCGGGTGCGTTTTTCGCTTGCTTGCATTGGCTGTGTCACGACTTAGAAATCTGCCTTCCGCGCAAAGGCATTCACAAGTTTTCCGCTTTGCGTTGCGGAGAGACTTGCGCGCATGCGCGGTGCCATGTCTTTGTTTTGGTTTTAATGGACGCGTAGACGCTGCTGCTCTGTGATTGGCCAGTGGTGCTGTCCTCCGCAAACGTTCCCTGTTGCTTGCGCGGAAATATCAAACATGCTAGATATCAAACACACGCAATGCAAAGAAATCCAATTCAAAGCAAGCGGCCGGCGCAAGCGGTCGACTCGTGAACAATCCTACCTACGCGCACAAGACAGATCTTTGCGTTGCGAAACGAGTCACGCAAGCAAGCGATATAAAAGTATTAAAAAAAGTTATCGATTAATTTCGTTCGTAAAGATTCGTGACGTGTGACTGTCGCCCGTGACAGGACGAACAAGTCGTATGGCCTGGTGGTAAGCGACTTGCCAGTCCATAACAGTTGCAGTGCCGCTCAAAGGTCACTGCCGTTGCACTCGTCACTCTGAGACATAAGTTGAAAAGTCTCATGTGCCTATAATTTCACCAGCACCAATACTCTTCAAATCCGGATAATGTGGCAGTACTTGCCTGGACAAATTCTTATACAAAGAGCTTGCTACCAAAGGACACGAAACGTTGGTTTTAAAAAAAAAACAAATATACGCGTATCCGGAAAAACAATTTCATTTCCTATGTGTAACAATCGCGAAAACCTAAGAATTCGATAAATAGTTTTATTTTAATTGTTCGTTACAATATTCTAACGACAGTTTTATTGACACGTAGAGAATAAAATTGTACGATTATGAATATAATCTTTAATTTTACATATTTTGAGTTACAACGCTATTGCAATATTAGTGAGATATAGTTCACATAAACGCCTAGTGTAAATTATAATGAAAATATAGTATTCAAATTTAGCGCTATATACATATATATATCCATAGTGTTCTAAAAAAATATATTTATTTATTGCATCATGTACAGATAATGGTATCTCATATAAACATGGACCCTGTTAGGGTATTGCCATTTAAATACTAATTTTATATTATAACAAACCAGTGGAGTAATTTCACATAAATTGAATATATATCATAAATATATATAATTTCTTGCTTAATGGTATTATATACTTAATTAACAATTTTATACTTTAATAAAAAGTCTATTAACTACTGTAATAAAATCCAAATATGCATTATCACTTAAAAATTACTAAATATGTACGCATATTAGAAGTATGTGGTTCGTGAGAGACAGAAAGAACATTTCTGGCAAGAACTCTTCTATTCAGTAATCTTTAGAAACGAGTAACAAACTTGTTTTTAAAAGGTGTACATTTGTTCTCTATTTTCAATATGTCTGGTATTTTATTATATATAAATATTTCTATACATTTCTAGATTGGGTGTAGGGAGGGATAATTTAAGTTTACGGCGAAAACTTTCAACTGGTTCAAAAATGGACATGTGTATTCTAGCAAACATTCAAGGATATCTATTGATGGTAGAGTAAGGTGGTTTAGTTTTGTAAAATGAGGTCTGAATAAAAAATTATTAAAAAATCTCGGCTGTGTTTTTCATACAAAACTTAGGGCATACTTGTTTGGACCTGATTTAGTACACTTCATTGTTGTACATTGGAATTAAGCACTTTTCCCATATATGTTACACAAAGAGAAGCAGATCTATTGATTGTTTTAACTTGAAACATAGTCAACATAAGCAAGTAACCTCGAACATACATGACGATATCATTTTAAAAGATCTCTTATCTAATCACAAAAAAGCTACTTAACGAAACACGTTTACCCAACCAAAGTCAACAATCTCAATGCAAACTGCATACAAGCCCACGCTAAATAGGTGCTCAGTCACTCATCATAAATTCATTGCCATGCCACGGAAGCTACTGACCAAAACCAGCGATCTAACTAAGGAGTGAAGCCCACACTTGGCATTCGAGCACCTAATATTGTTATAGAAACTTAGTTCAACCACCGACACCAGTTAGAGTGGACTTGTGAAAAAAAAAAAATAGGATCAGTGAAAACGTTTTCCAATTTCCACAACCATATTTGTCTAAAACTATGTCAAAGTTATCCGTGACCAACTTTTCTAATCGTGCTGGGAGTCCGTACAAAAAAGGCGAAGAAAAATCAATAACACATGAAGAAGTGCTTGAGAAAACTCATCTAGAAAAACAGAAGGCAAAACAAAATATATTATTAAATAAAGTGAATAAAAAGACAGCTGAATATAAAGAAAATAAACCTAGCTCTGGTGTTTTTACTGAAGTTGTTACACACGGTGCTTTTACTATTAAAGTCAATGAGAAAGATAAACCAAAAGCTGAAACTGCGACTCCAGCAGCAAAAAGTGGAAATGGGAATAATAATTCAAAGTCGTTATTGGGATTTCCTTCATCAGCAAATGATTTAGCTCTAGACGCAAAATCAGACTTGGAATCCGATGTAAACGTTTCAAAGGAAGTAAAAGAAAAAGTGATTAAAAAGCTTTTTATGCTTGCTCAAATGGTACAGCACGTCTACGAATCAAAAGTCAGGATAATGACAGAATATGACAAATTCAAAGAGTTACAACTTAAAAATGAATCTAGACGAGAGAGAGAACATTCCGAACAATTGTATAAATTGAATATGAATTTTCAAAACGAAGTAGTGCAGTCAATACAGAGGTTGAAAAGTGAGTTGGATATTTCGCGCCATGTTATGAAGGAGAACGTACAATTACAATTGAAGGGAAATAACAGTTCTGTGTGTTTTAGCACGTCAACGGACGATGCAAATGATTCCGATGCTGTTGATAAAATCATTGACAAAAGTGAGGCCAATGACGTCAGAGAGAATAATAATGGTGACATAAATGATGACGCAATTGTTACTTAAACGTGTTTTTTCATTGTGAATTCTAGTTGTTTTGTAATCTACGTTTATTTTTGTTGATAAATGTTTTTAAGCAGTAAGTGATAGTTTTGTGTATAATAAATTAGTTTTTCTACTCGACTCAAGTAAGTTTAATTAACTTCATATGTACGGTGGGCATGGCTATCTATAGAATTAATTTTTTTTTAAATATCTATATACGTAGGGTTTATATTTGCAGGTTTAAAAAAGTGACACATAGTGCAGTTTCAAGTGTGACCTTGACTTCCAGTAATCCATACAAAAATGTTTCGACGAAATGTTACGAAGAGTTAAATTTAAAAATTGCGTAAATTTGCAAAAGTGTTTGCTTTTGTAAGTACATTTTTTAATTGTAGAAAAAACTGTGCTAAAAGGTTTCGGCAAAATTAAAAATAATCCTGCACAATAAGCATGTAAAAAAATTGGGAATAAAATCATAATTTCTTCATAATTTTGTCTAATTTAATTATTTGATTAAATTAATCTAATTAATTAAATTCTTGACTTATGTCCAACAAATAATCGTAACCAAGTATTTTAATTTAAATGTTCTAACGTGTTAAACCAAATAATTTACATACTAGTTGAACCAAATACACTGTAATAACCATTTTGAGCAATGACGGTTAAAAAGGCAAATTTCAATTTCTATTATTATTGAAATATAATTTATTAGAACAACTGCAGCAAAAAAGTCCCAGAACTTGAGAGATGTTGGAATTATTTAGTATTTGATCTTGGGGCCATGGCTTAATTAAAGCCAGTCTTGATAACAACTACGACTAAGAGGGTTTCCGAAACGTTTCGCTTCCAGCACGAATGCAGAATGTGTACGCTCGATACGAACCGACAGAACCTCTAGGTCTAGAATCCGAGTACTTGACCGTGGCCGATAATGCCATCGTCGGGGAATATCGCCTCTTCCATTTCAAGGTACGTTCTGCTTCTACTATACTGATAAAAATGGACATTAATCAAGTGTTTGATCAAGATATTTGATAGAATCGATCACAATATGATTAAATTCATCGTCATCACCATGGCGGCCTTTGTTTGATCCAATCCAACACAACACAACAACTGCCTCCGTGGCCAAACGGTTACCATGCTGGACTGCCACGCAGAGGTCCCGGGTTCGATTCCCTGGTCGGGAGAAATATTTGTATGGCCTACATTTATTTCTCTCGTGAGTTTGGGTGTAATTTATGGTTGTCTATGTGTGTGCCCATGACACGCGCAGGGTTTCCCTAGAGCGGGGCTTTATAAAAAATCTTGGATGTAGGTTTCTTCCCTCTTTTTCCACACTTGGCGATTCTATTTCCTATTCATCCAGTCCCAACCTCTGTGTCGGGATGTCGTCCATCCAGCGCTGCGGTGGTCTGCTGCGCCCTCTGATATTTGCGTGGGGGAGAGTCTCAGCTACCTACCGGGCCACAGGAGGTTGGATAGTGAAACAGTCCTGTAGATGCAGGACTGCTGCGAATAAAGGGAAATCGAATAAGTGTTGCCCTGGCCGAGAAGTTCAACCAGAGAACAAAAAGTAACGAGAATGGATACGCCCCTCCCTAGCTTTAGATACAGCACCACGCCCCGCACATTGACGGTCACATTGACTGAGCAGCAACAGGGCTCCCGTGGCGAGCCGTTTTCGCGCTAAGACGGCTGTGATATTTGAATATAGTTTTCATTTATTCATTACGAAACTTGTACGTTAATATATAACGTCATTGTACGTTACTATTTATAATAGTCGTGACTTGTGTTGTATACGGCTGTTTATCATCATCTGCCTCCGTGGCCGAACGGTTACCATGCCGGACTGCCACGCAGAGGTCCCAGGTTCGATTCCCGGGCCGGGAGAAATGTTTGTATGGCTTACATTTATTTCTCTCGTGAGTTTGGGTGTAATTTGTGGTTGTCTATGTGCGTGTCCATGGCACCCGCGACACAGGGTATCCCTAGTGCGGGGCTATGTTGAGTGTGTGCGTTATTTATTTATTTATATTATTTATTTATCTAAACGGGATAAAGAGAGTACCTAATTAAAAAACAACTTATATCTGAGACTCATTCAGTTATTATTTTATTAATTTATTTAGTGCAGAGTAATTTATAATACAAATTTATTATATCAATATAATGAGATATAATCATTGACTTACAAATAAATGGACGACGGATCTAATACAAAAACCACGAAAAAAATATCCCAAGTCAACCTATTCGAAATTTAAATTGTAATGTCATCGCAGTATCGCGCTGTCAGTCGAACAAATGAAGACTAAAGCGGAGTGTCGCGCTCTGTATACGATTTTAGCGCCTTATAAGTGCGGACACTTTTTAGCGCGGACCCGACGTCCATATAATTGTAAGTCAATGGATATAATATAGTAGACAAGGGTTTTCGAATTTTCAATTTGTATTGCGATATGTAATATTATTATTGTTAATAATAAATATGTAGTGTATATAATTATTAACTAAGTAATGATAAAGTTGGATACGTAATATCAAATACCGTGGTTAACTTATTTAAAAGTACCTGTCCAAAATTTGCGTGTGTGCAGATAGCATCTTCCTGTATTTAGCAGTAGTCAAGGTCAATTACTTTCGACCGTTGTTGTAGGGAATGTCAGGGGTGTGGTTCATTTGCAGGCGACGATGGGCAGGGGTGCTAGAAGTAATCTCTGGGAGTTGATCACCTGCCTATAAAAAACAAGAATAAATTAATAACTTAAAATTGATGTTGTAATCATCATGCTTGAAACAAGTTATCTTTACAAAATCAAGTTTATTTCAATCCCACTTCGCGCCTTTGATATAAATAAGGCAACATCTGCAAAACTACAAATTTTCTGAATTGAAATTTTCTGGTTTAAAGATTCTACGAAAGAAATTACTGGATAAATTTTTGTTTAAATAGGAGATTTATAAAATTTCACATATACATATAATTTGCTCCATTAAGTTCGTATTACTTTTATGATTTCCATGTGATATAAGCAGATGTGGCTTTATTATATCTATATTTATCTACCATTACATCTCAAAATTACTGAATAAAGGCGAGACAATTTTATTATATGTAATATACTATTAACAAGTCATAGTAAACAGTTAGTGGGCGGAGGTAGGCGTTCCGGTGTTTTGTTAATAGATTTCATTTTAATATTAGTCTAGTTTACTGACGGATGTTGACCAAAAGATTATATTTAATGACGCTATTGTTGATATAATTTAATGTATATTGAATATGAATAGTGTAGGGTAATGGAAAATTTCCATTTGTAAAAATTCATGTCTTTCAGAAAAATTAATATTTTTCGGAATATCTTTTCCTATATTTTTCCAATATTTGTTCACATTTGATACTTGATATTTGTCAAAACTTGAAGATACTGAACGAAAACGACGGAGTCATTAAAACCAATTTCTTTACCTATGATTCTTTATTGTTGTAGCAGTAGAGCTCCTTGTGAAAGTGTTCGTCCAGGGAAATACTGCCACCTTACCTATTACTACCGCCAAGCAGGAATGTCAGCATTACTGTGTTCCGATTTCGGGTGAAATTACAGGCACATGAGACTTGTCAACTTATATCTCAGGATGACTGCCACTGCAGTGCCCCTCAGATCTTTGCGATTTAAAGCTCTAAGTGGCACTGCAACTGTTATGGCCAGGAGTGTAGCTTACCATGAGGTCCCGACCCTTGATAGTATAAAAAAAGGTACTTTTTTCGCTGTCGTCTAATCATTTTAAATCTCGATTTACTCTAACTTGCTTTTAGCTATATAATTTTATTTTATAACTCACGCTGAATAACATTTCAATAGATATATCTAAACGTAGAACATAATATGAGCTATCGAATTATATTAATCAAATTTTTCAGAAATTTTTCCGAAAAAAATTCCACTATTTCAAATTTTTTGGAAAATTTCCCAATAGTATCTACTTTTGGGTAATTAAAAAAAATCGGAAAATTACCCAATAGTAAATACTATTGGGAAATTATCCTATTTTTTTTTTCAGAACTATACGCGTGTATTTGTTTTCTCAAACAAACCAATATGGTTCAGTGGTTTTACAGGTCCCGTGGTCACAGCTGACAGAGACAATAGAGTTATAAACCAGTTATGTCTTATATTAATGCAAAGCAATCTATTTTTCACTATAGTTACAAAAGCTATTAGGGCGTTTGCGAAAATCGGACGTTCTTAATTTAAATATCTTATTTTTAATTACTTATACCAAAGTGTTATTCATCCAATTTACGCACATACGTTTTGCAAAATATATTATTTAATTTAAACAATATGAATTTTTACTAAATTAAATAATTAATTAAAAGGGCATTAGAAGGAAATCACTAAGTATTTAGTGACAAACTGTAGAAGTACTAGATTATATACATGACCACCATCATCTTCAACTACACTCATACTACAAAAATGGCATAAGAAAGGGTACTAAAGAACCGATTTCAAAATTTCGTGGAATTACATCTATTTGCCAAGTTTGATTGAAATCGGTTACCGGAAAGTGTGCGAGTTGGATTCATCCCCTAGTTTGCCACTCTTCGAGGTGGAATATTTTCAGTAAAATTTAAAATTCAAATTTAAATGGTACCTTCTTTCCTACAAAAAAAGAATCATCAAAATCTTTTGACAAAAAACATAACACACATACAAAAAAAAACCGTTGAATTGAGAACTTCATTTTTTTGAAGTCGGTTAAAAATCAACTTTTTTTATGACAAATGTTTAACAGACAATTGGTAAATTTTCAATTCATCAGGCGTTTTTGTCTTAAGCCTTACTGGTGTCGAGACACTTGTCATCTCATAGGAGGTATAAGGTAACTAATAATATTATTATGTTATAGGTCCAAAGGTTATCTGCGAATGAACTTTGCGTTACGTATCTACTAAATCGGTCTCTCCAAGAAACCGGTTAATAACGCGTTGTGCAGTCTTAATGTAATTGTATTGTGCTTTACGTTGTCTGTTGTTATTGCATTAATCTTCGTGTATGTTGTTTTACTAAATCAACAGTGACTTTAAACTACTTCGTCTAAAAGTAAGTATTACGTCCATATTGCATTCTTGTTGTAATAAGGTCATATCTACAAAATGACAACATTTCAGGAGAGAGGTTCAAAGATTCTACGAAAGTAATTTGCCGACATCTTTTTATGCTTTAATAGGAGACTTGTAAAATTTTACAAAATACATAATTTATTTCGTAGTAGTAGAGCTCCTTGTGAAAGAGTTCGTATAGGGAAGTATTGCAACTACAGACATATATTTAGATAGACGCCGCAAGTACAGCAATATGTATGAAAACCGAGCGTGTCGCAACTTATGTATCCACCATGACGTCATAAGAACTATTTAGTGATGGGAAACCTCCTTCCGCGCTAAATCGATTGATTGAACGGAATACACGTATTCCATTCAATTAATCGACTCAAGTATTCGTTGATTACAAGTAGTCGTGAAATATGAATACAGTAGAAAAATACCAAAACAAGATAGTCATGTCCTTTATTAAAAGTTGTTTAAAAAAAATTTTGATTACTTAATAATTTAAACTTTAATTTTTAATCAACTTCAAATATTAACATTATTGTACTTGAAATAATATAAGCTTATTAAATAACTGTCTTTTTGTAATAGAAGATCTTATTGATTGACTTAAATAATGAAAACGCGCGTCAATATATGAACTTGCAACTGCCTTAATTAAATTTACTGGTTTTCCGTCGGTGATTGATCAAATTGGTGAATGGAAAGACAACTGAAAATGGTACTGCTGACAAAATATCTAAAATCTTACTAAAGTAACTTAAGATTTATTTAATGTCGGCCTCATGTAAAGTTTTTGTGATTTGATCATGATTTCTCGGATTTCTAACTCCTGCTACTCTGCATATTTGGATAGCATCTTTGGCGGGATAAACTATACCACCTTCGTTCTTGTTCTGAAGCGTAGAAGCGCCAACTAAGTGCTTTTCGATCGATTGATTGAACGGAATACGCGTAAGCACGCGTATTCCATTCAATTAATCGATTCTAAAACGAATAATTTTTGTTCAAATATTTGTTGATTACAAGTACTCGTAATATTAATATAGTAGAAAAATACTAGAGTAAGATAGTTTAGTCCTTTATTTTACTTTAAAAATATTCAGACTTGACTTTTTAATCGACTTCAAATATTAAAATAATTGTCCTTCCAGTAAAGTGAGTTTATTATATCTTTTTGTAATAGAAGATCTTATCGTTTAACTTAAATAATGAAAACGCACGTCAATTTATGAACTTGCGACTGCCTTAAATAATTTTACTAGACGGTTTGCTGTTGGTAATTGATCAAATTGATGAATGGCAAGACAAATGAAAATGTTACTACTGACAAAATATGGTAACATCTTATTAATCAGAAGAGGTTTGAAGAGATACGCAGTAATGCTCACATTATTGTTTGGCGGCAGAAATAGGTAAGGTAGCAGTACTACCCTGGACCAACTCTTTCATAAGGAGCTCTACGGCTACTAAAAAATGATAATAAATGTACGTATTATTTTTATGTTTTTCATAAGATAAAAGTACTTTTGATGTATGACCACATATGGCTTTGTTATACCAAGGGTACGTTATGTTATATTGTCTGAAATAGTGCTTAGAATGAACGAGATTCATTTAAGAACGAATATGAAGAACTGTTCAACATTATTATTCCCTTTCCTACTCCGAAACACGCTTGCTGGCCTCCGTAGTCACCGTTTTACAACTAGCCGCAAGCCATCGCGAACTAAAAGGTTTGGTGGCACCTTCCTCTGTCAGACAGTTGACGAATGGAACTTCCTTCCAGGGCACGTATTCCCTCCGTCTTACAATATGGGGTCCTTCAAAACGAGGCGTGAAGAGGCATCTTGTAGGTATGCAGAGTGAAGGTGGCTAGGGCAGTGATTGTATCAACACTGCACTACGTTCCTTCACGTTTGGATTCCATTTACCATTTTACATCAGCTGGAATGGAGTCATCTGCCTGTCATGTATAAAAAAAATACAATAAATAACAATTACTCCAAATAAATCCACATCAAACTTTTCTAAATCATGATATATTTAGAGCCAATATATCGTCGGTGTTGAAAGGCGTAAGCGTTACAAAAGCAAAGAAGTTTCTTCTGTATTTTCCATTTACGAGGCTTAAAAATATACTGAAACAAAACTTTACACTAAAGGTTATTTATTATACAGCTTCTGCGTACTTGGATGACAAAAATCCTTGGTGGTGGCATGTTTAGATGGTAAATCATAAATATGTACAATGTTTGTTTATAAATACCAGCCCTTAGAGATTTTATGCTCTGGCCACACAGAGGCGGCCGCGGAAGCGTTTCGGACACGGGAATTTTTGTAATGTACGAGTTTATAAATGAACCCTGGCAAACTTAAACGCGCGGCCGCCGCGCCCCAATTTCAAGTGTAATTTTTACCTAAGTAAAATGAAGATTATTTAGGTTTGAGTTTGACTTTTTTTGTACAGAGACGGACTGACCAAGTATTTAAATTTTTTCAGATGAAGATGGCTGCATATTTTCCTATAATTCTGCTTTCAACCCTTCTCGCTATCGAGGCTCAGCCTACATGCACAATCAATAATAATACAGACGTCATGTGTATTCCAAAAGACAATCACTACGTCTTAGAAAAAGGCTTGGTTTCGCATAGAAATCAAACTACAAGAATAACACTTAGAAGATGTCGGATAACAGATATAGATTTCGAATCATTTGATGGGCTGCCATCTCTAACATACATTGATTTATCTGTAAACAACATAAATACATTAAGACTTGGCGTTTTGGATGAAGCGGAACAAGTGACGCATTTGAATTTGTCCTATAACATGCTAACGGAATTCCCTTTAGGTTTATTTGACAAAAATGTAAATCTGGATGTACTGGATTTGCAAGGAAATTTGATCAATTATTTGGAATTGGGAATTCTTGATCCGCTTACAAAGTTAAGGCATTTGGATCTATCGAATAACGCTTTAAAGGGTAAAAACATGTCTGCTTATTTATTTGACCAATGCACGAATATAAAATATATTGATTTTTCAAACAATGACATGAATGGTTCACCAGACAATTTGTTACACGCATTTCAAACTTTGAAGTCTCTCAATTTAAATCGTTGTGGATTGAGTGAAGTGCCTCAATTTGCTATTATGAGCAATTTGAAGACTATAAAACATTTAGTGTTATCGTCTAATGGAATAAGTAGAATAGACAACCCTAATACCTTTGTTAACTTAGATAATTTAGAAATACTAAATTTGGCTTTTAATTTTATGGAAAGTATTCACGAAAATGTTTTTAAATCTATTAGAAACCTGAAAACGGTTATGTTAATGAATAACGGATTAAAACAACTGCCCGAAACATTATTTCAAAACATGAAGAAACTTGTTAATATAAATTTATCGCATAATTTAATCGAATATGTACCAGTCAACGCTTTCAGAGGAAGCGGTGCAAAATATTTGAATTTGTCTGATAACAGATTTTCTTTTTTGACTTACAATTTTTTATTGGAATTAAGAAATTCTGGCACTAGAATAGTTAAATTTAATTTTAATCAAAACCCTTGGCAATGTTCATGTCTAATACAAATTCTGAATGAAGTGAAATCTATGGAAGTCGAATATAATTATGTAAAATTCAATGGAAAAGACAAAGTGTGCGTGGCTAAAGATGAGTTTGCTTGTAAAAGACAACCGAATGACAATTTATATTTTAATGAAGTGTACTATAATCATCATTGACTTACAATTATATGGACGTCGGGTCCGCGCTAAAAAGTGTCCGAACTTATAGGGCGTTAAAATCGTATACAGAGCGTCATTCACGTTTTAGTCTTCGTTTGTTCGACTGACAGCGAAGCAAGCAAAATTAGACAGTACTGCGATGACATTACAATTTAAATTCAACGTTTTAACTTCTTCATATTCCTTGAAATGTCACTACGTTTAAATAGGTTGATTTGGGACATTTTTTTCGTGGTTTTTGTATTAGACCCGTCGTCCATTTATTTGTAAGTCAATGATAATAATGAATAAAATAAGGCATGAATTTATTCCTGAACACATTTTTGTTTCTTGAATACAGTGCCATCTATAGAACAAGAAAAGTACTATTATCAATGGTCGATGCCGTAGATACCCTCATTGATCACTGGAATGTTCATTGATCCCAAAAGTTCTTAACAATTACGCTAGATGGCGACGTCTATACGTTTATATCTTTTTATTGTAATCTTTGTAAGCAGGACTTGGATTTGAATATAAATATGTAATTGTGTTCTTTGTATTATAATAAAGAAGAACCAATAGAAGAAGAACCAATCACAAAACCTTAATTTAAGTTAAATATCTTAAAAAATTGATAAAATGGTTGAATTGAGTTCTTAAGTCTCAGGTTTTCGCAATTGTAACACATGAAATTGTTTTCTTTTTCCTTTTTAAAAACGAGTATTTTTTTTATAATATCGAACAAGTCGTGCGCCTGACGGTAAGCTGCACGCCAGTTCATAACAGTTGCAGTGCCACTCAGAGCTTTTAATCGCAAAGATCTGAGGGGCACTGCCACTGCGCCCGTCACCCTGAGACATAAGTTGACAACTCCCATGTGCCTATAATTTCACCAGCACCCTTACCCTTCAAAACCGGAACACAGTAATGCTGACAATACTGGTTGGCGGGAGAAATAGTTAAGGCGGCAGTACTACCCTGGACGAACTCTTTTACAAGGAGCTCTACTGCTACTAAATTTCAAATGGTTTCCGAAATGTTATTTTACCTTTAGGTGTACACGCGACGTATTTTCTCGGATTCGAATAGGACTTAGTGCACAAGCGACATCCAAAGTGAAAACCAATACAAATCGGATGCACTGCACAAACGTGCTTAGTTTGTTCGTCGTAAGCGACACGCCTATCATCCATAACACTTGTAGTATCGCTCAGAGATTTAAAACAAAGATCTCAGGGGTACCGGTCACTGCGCCTGTCGCCCTGAGACTTGATGACAAGTCCCGAATGCTGTAATTTCACCAGAACCCTATCTTTCAAAACCGGAACTCAGTAATGCTAACATTACGGTTTGGCGGCAGAAATGGGGAAGGTGGGTAGTACTTTTATATGTAACAGTAATGTTCTATGTTAGCTAAAATCGTCTGAGCGTTTTGTAGCTCTTGGTCGCAACTTGAGAACATTTCTTGGTGTCAGCTGTTTATTTAGAGAGGTTATGTTAGGTTTATTCTAAGTGATTCCATTTCTAAGTGATCAAATGTTTGATTGCAGTTAATTAATCTATTTCGAAAACCATAAACCCAGCCAAGTTTAAAATGTTGTGTGTAAATTTATATCTAATTAGAACCAATTACTAATATTTTAAACAATTTCATAACCAATATCAGACCGCAGAAAAAAAAACAAAACACGTGCAAGTTTTTTTTTATAATTTCTCATAGTCAACATCTGCGAATCGCACTTTTTGTGAAATTTCTTTCGTTGTTTAAAAAAAGGGATTCGTTTTTTTTAAAAGATCGCCGTATCGAATAGATTTTGTACGTGCGACTGACGTACAAAATATAAAGCGTGTTGTGGTTTTAGTGACATTCATTTGTTTATTTAGCGATACGGCTAGTTTACGCGTTACATTTTTTCGTTTTAGTGCAGTTATAAGCATTTTGACATTTTGTAAACTTTAAGACACACCGACCAGGGAATGCGTGGGGTGCGGGAGAGGCGGCTACTTCGTAAAAAAATAGATTTGACTCTTATATCCTTAGAATATATTCTAAGCTTATATCCTTATCCGCTAATTCAATGATTACTAGACAGCTGTAATTGATTATTTACACGCTTACATTAAGTTAAAATTTAGTTAATTACTTCTTCACTTAAGTGCAAATCAGTCATGCAAAGTAAATACTTCTTTTAATCGTAAACGATTATTATAACGATTGTATTCATGAGTGATCACACATTTTTATGATACCAAGTGAGGAGACGAACAAGTCGTGCGCCTGTTGGTAAGCGACACGCCAGTCCATAACAGTTGCAGTGCCACTCAGAGCTTTAAATCACAAAGATCTCAAGGGCACTGCCACTGCGCCCGTCACCCTGAGACATAAGTTGATAAGCCTCATGTGCCTTTAATTTCACCAGCACCTTTACCCTTGAAAACCGAAACACAGTAATGCTGACATTATTGCTTGGCGGCAGAAATAGGTAAGGCAGCAGTACTAGCTAAACGAACTCTTTTTAAAAACTGTTTTTTTTTGGCAGAATCAGCCGTGACCATGGGATTCATATCAGAAGCCTGAGTATAATTTTGTAATCATTCAAACTTAACTAAGTACCGCGTTTGCGTTAAGATTTTTATTTAGGTAGGTCTTACATGTATTTGTAAGGTTTAAATTAAAATCATGCAAACGCGTTAGTTCAGTTTACATATTTGAAAACTTACAATAAGGCCCCAGTGCCGAATTCGAGAAATGACGGTCTGAAATGTCACAGGCCTCCGAAGTGTCATTTTAAGTCTAGGTGTACAAGCGATAATCGTACTTTCTCGACAGACTCCAGTACGAGGTAAGAACCTGTGCTCCAGCGTATTCCCGGGGTAGCTGAGGTACACTGCGTCAGTCGGACAATTGATCTGCGTCTCGGTAAGGAACAGCAGCTGCGGTTTGTCGGTTTCAAGGTAGTAGTGGACCGAATCGAGATTTGAGTGCAGCCCCTTTTATGTTGGTGTGCACTTTCAATTGGAGGACGTGCAACCGCTGTGAAAATTTTATTCCTTTTCTATGACTTCATAATTTTAAGAGAACCGAATAGGCAGGAGGAAGGCAGTTGGACGAAGCATAGCGTCGTGTTCAATCAAGCAGCAAGCTCACACTGCCACGCGAGGGTACAATAGGTTTGGAGACCGTGGGGACGCCTGAACCTCCCCTGGAGATGGCCACCTGGTCCTCCCTTCCGGTCGCCAACCGGCCAGGTGGAGCGTTCCGGGATTTTTCATTGGGTGGCGGGGCAGCCTTTCACGGGTGACATTCCCACTACTTGAACTTCCCACGGTCGGCCAGCTGTGCACCGTGCTTCGGATCCCGCAAGCCTCCAGAACCGAGTGCTTTGTGTGGCAGTACAAGCAGCTACAACTCATCAGCCACAATGCAGCTGTTGGGACCCGATCTCCTAATGGCAACTCCTGGACACGAGTCGGAATACGGTGAAAACCATTTGGTGACTCGACTGCGTCGGGAGGGTGGTGACTACAACCAGTAGTTGTCGCTCCTTAGCACCACCCATCACTTGTAGGGTCTCAAGGGCAAACCTACGGAAGCGAGCAACATCAACCCCCATGTCGTAACATCTTTAGTATCACAGCAACCGTGGCATCTGAGTAATTTTTTGCAATGCATAATGTTGTTATGCAGATGTTAATGTCTCGAAAACGAAGACGTTGGTAGATTCGCGAATGGTTATCGAGAAAGCCTATTGGTGCATCGAAGTTAATGTTTGAATTAGTAAATGAAGATCCAGATAGCTCTAATACATTAGTTTCGCATTGTATTTACGTAATAAAATTAGTTGCATGTTTTACCAAAAAATCGCGCGACGTACGAAACTATTTAATTTTATAAAATTAATGCATCCATTATAAAATTAGATGTTTAGACATGAAATTATACACGAAATTAATGTCATAACATTGATTATATGACACTAATTTCGTAATGTAAATTAGGCTTAATGTGTAAAAATTGTGAAAGTTTAAATAAATGTATTAAATAGGAGAATTATATAATTCTCATATACATACATAATTTGTTTCACACAGTTTGTATTATTTTTGACGTACGATCACGTATGACTTTATTATACCAAGGATAAGAAATAGCGTGGCTTGGTTAAGACTGGGAATGGCATTTGAGTTAAATTTTTGTGTTAATAATAGAAATTAAATCGTTGACATTCCATATTCATCATCAGGCTTGTTAACCTTTTTTTTGCATTTGCTTTTTGATGTAACCTTTACGCGTTGAAGGTCGTTTAGGAAACTTTTCGATGACCATAAATCTGGCCTAAAGTATCAATCACTACTTATCGAGTTCCAAATTTTGGCGATTGTTCTGTATTAATAATAATATTTCATTTTTCTCACAAATTTAGTGGTATAAGAACTAATCAATTAAAGAAAACAAAACATTAAATTTGTTGTCTGTAAATTACAGACCCGCAATCGCATTTTATTTTCAAATACATGTTTAGGGTTTTTTACGGTTTTCTTTTGTGACACCAAGTGATGGTACGAACAACTCGTGCGCCTGGTGTTAAGCGACACGACTGTCCATAGCAGATTCAGAGCCATTCAGAGTTTTAAATAGCAAAGATCTCAGACACACTGCCGCTGCGCTCGTTACCCTGAGACATAAGTTTTCAATGTAAAATAAAAAGAACGCAGTAATACGTTACTGCTTGGTGGCTGAAATAGGTAAGGTAAGGTACTTTCCTGGACGATTTTTTTCACAAGGAGGTCTACTGCTCCGCGAACTCAGTGAAAGTTAAATCAAGCAAAATAGCTGCGTTTCAGTTGGAAAATTACTTAATGCAGAGAATTTTCCCAAATGGATTTTTAATTAATTTAAAATCTTTAAACAGCGTTAGCGAAAAAATAGCTGTAAATACTCACGATTTAACTTTCACAAGGAATACAAAGATCGAACACTTAGAAAACATTCCTTCGATGCGGCTGGATTCAAA